GCCAATAGGGTAGCCTCCTTTAGATGTTGATTTTTTGTGCAACAACGGCCGCGGGGGATACCAAGTGCGCGAATGAGCATCAAGGCCGGGGAAATCCAACGGAACGCGAACTGCAACGAAACGAAGGACTGATTTTTCGCCAACAAGCCAGTTTACGGGCCCGCACCGAAGGGACCGCATAGTTGCTCAACTACGGAACACTATCCCCCACAGAGAAATCGCTGATTCTGAAGCGCTGCGCTGAGCATTTCAGAGCCGTCCTCAACCGTCCATCCACAAGCTCCGACGCCGCCATTGAGATAGTCCTCCCGCCTTCACTCACGGCAACAATCACAGCCGGGCATTAACTCCCCAGCGAGAAGGCACCCTGCTCCGGCGTGATCCCGGTTAAAGTCTACAGACATGCCGACCTCGGCTGATGGACAAACTTAAAGTGATGTTGCGAGGAATATGGCGTCAAAAACAATTCCCAGAATTTCAAGGAAGCGATTATCGTCCATCTCTGCCAGCAGCAATGGATCTGGCAACTTTGTTTCAATTACAGAGAAATTGCATCGCTAACCATTGCAAGAACCATCCTCATCCGCGCCCTTATTAATCGTCTGAACACCCACTTGGAAAAAGGACTCCTCCCGGAAAACCACTATGGGTTCCGAATGAGCGGTGGCAGCATCAATATGATCTTCGGCGCCCTCCAACCACAACAAGAGTGCCAGGAGAAGCGGACTCACATCTAAACTTCCTTCGTGGATCCGAGGGAAGCTTTCGACACGGTTCGTGGCGGCCGACTGTAAAAAAGCATGTAGAAGCCCAAATGTCCTGAACGATTCACGCACATTAGGCGTTAGTTCCACGACGTCGTGATGGCATGCATCACGGAGAGTAGAACAGGCTCAGAAGCATCTGCAGTGACCTCTGGAGTGAAGCAGAGCTGCGTACTCGCTCCTGCCCTCTTCAGTACCATGTTTTCTGTCGGGCTCCTAGACGCTTGCCGTGGTGAGCCCCCTGGTGTCAGCATCGCCCATAGGACCGACGACCAGCTTCTGAACACCCGACAAACGCAAGTCTTCACGCGGACTTCCATAACCACTGCCCATGAACTCCTTTTTGTAACTGCGCATTCAAGCCTACGATTAAAGCAGTCATGCAAAGAAACATGAACCTCTTCGCTTCAGGTTGCGCAAACTTCGGGGTGGCCATCAACATGAACGAAACGGTGGTTATGCACCAATCAGCACCAGAGGGGTAAACACGACGCTGAGTATCAGTGGGAATGGAACGCCATACTAATCCGTGCATAGGCTTGCCAACCTGGGCAGCACCATCTCGAACAAAACCGAGACAGACGACGAAGGGACCCATCGAATCTCCAATGTCAGACATTTGGCAGGCCGCAGGCCTCTCTCTGGAGCCGCCACAGGCTTAAATGTACAAGATGGTAATCCTGAAAACGTTACTATACGAAGTGGAGACATGGACCGTCTATGCCAATCAAGGCAGTAAAAGCAATCATTTCCACATCAGCTGTCTCCGGAGAATAATAAAACTGCGCTGGCAAAACAGGTTTTCGGACACAGAGGACTTAGAACGAACCGGAATTCTCAGCATGACGCCATGCTGAGGCGACTACAACTGAGATAGAGCCACCACCACGAGAGGATGGATGACGAGTGCCTGCCCAAGCGACCCTTCTACGGCAATATCGCTGAAGCTGATCGCTGACAAGGAGGATAACACTGACGTTACATGGACAGCCTGCGAACCTCCCTTAATGGTCTACCAATTGATCCGGAGACATGGGTGAACCTCGCACGAGACCGAGCGGCCTGAGGAAAAGCAGCAAAGACTGGGGCAGCAATTTACGAAGCCAAGTGCATTTCTGTTGCTGCAGCCAAAGAACCAGCACGCAAGACTCAAACGCCGCCGACCCACAACGTCAACACCCAACAGGCCCACGCTGTCAACGAACGTTCCGCGCATGAATCGGAATCGTCGAACATCTCCAGACCCAAAGTAACAACAACCCGACAATTCCACCTGCTGCCCCCGCGAAAGCCTCCAGCGTCAGCCCTATACCAACCTCCACAACGGCGACACTCACCGCTGCCATCGCTGATCACACACCTGATGCCCCGACGCCTCAACTGACGTCGTCGGAGCCCACCACTTCTCCAATCTCCATAACTGGGGAGAACACTCCTCACGCCCCGCCAATCACTACCCTTATCACCATGGCCTCCGCCAACAGAAACGTGGAGTTTTTCCCAACTTCTTCCAACCCGAATCACACCTTCCACTCCAGTATCAACCTGGTCGGTCACTGGCGTACTCATCGCATCGAGACTGGCACACTAGCGTCAGGAGCCCTGACATACCATCGCCACATCCATCTCTAATGTCCGCATTTCTCACGCACATTTACGGCATAGACTCCTTCAGCAATGTGAGCATCTACGAAAGCGGAATTCACCACAATATCGACATATCAAGCATACCTCTCACACCCGACATCTCTTCTATCTCCAGCACTACCACCTCACCCTCCACTAGCGCGGCGAATACTAGTAGCATTAATGCCGCAACCGACTCACCACCTCCCAGCCTATCCTCTCTATATTGCCACCGCGCATGCATGCACGGCAAGATCGCAGTTGGCAGCCAGACATTATAAGTTGATACTGTCGACGTACTTACTTGTTATCTGTAGGTGTGCTTACCTTGTCTAGGGAACTTGTTATCAGTAGGCGTGGTTCTACTGAGTTAGGCAGGTCGCCCGTTTCGGTCAGGCTGTTGGGTTTCTTGAGGGTTAGGATTAGGCGTATGTTAAGTTTTAGGATTAGGGTTTACATTTTAGGGTCAGGTTTCACTGTTAGGGTTAGGGTTTAGGTTTACGATTACGGTTTTGCTTTAGGGTTGGGGCTCGGCTTTAGGGTTAGGGTTATGGTTTTCTGGGTCAGGGTTAGAAGATTTGGCTTCCGTTTTAGGGTTGAGGTTAGAATTAGGGTTCCGGTTTATGGTTTCTGATTTTCGGGTTAGGATTAGGACTTCAGGGTTAGGTTTCCGGGTTAGGGTTCGGGTTAAAGTTTACGATTAAGTTCCACTATTACGGTTGTGGTTAGATTTTAGAGTTAGGGCTATGCTTAGAGGTACGGTTAGGTTTAAGATTTCGGTTAGGGTTACGGTTAAGCTTTAGGTTAGAGGTAGGGTTAAGGTTTAGGTTAGGGTTACAGTTACGGTTAGAGTTAGAGTTAAGGTTAGGGGCTAGGGCTAAGTTTAGGATTAGGGTTATGTTTAGGATTAGGGTTAGGGTTAAGGTTAGGGTTAGCGCTAGTTTTAGGGTTAGGGCTAGGGTTAGGGTTAGGGATGAGGTTAGGGTTACGGTTAAGTTTAGGAATAGGGTTAGGGTTAGCATTAGGGTTAGGGTTAGCATTAGGGTTAGGGTTCGAATATAGATTGGGTTTAGGTTTAAATTTAGGGTTAGGGTTAGGGTTAGCGTTAGGTTTGTTGTTAGGGTTAGGGCTGGGGTTAGGGCTAGGGTTAGGGTTAGGGATAAGGTTAGGTTGAGGGTTAAGTTTAGGAATAGGGGTAGGGTTAGGATTAGGGTTAGGGTTAAGTTCAGTGTTAGGGATCGGATTAGGATTAGGATTAGGTATTAATTTAGGGGTTGGGTTCGGATTAGAGTCAGGGTTAGGTTTATGTCTAGGGCTAGGTTTAGGGTGAGGGCTAGGATTAAGTTTAGGTTTAGCGTTAGGATTTGGGTTAGGTTTAGGGCAAGTGTTCGGGTTAGGATTAGGGTTAGTTATGAGGTTAGGTTTAGGGTTAACTTCAGGATTAGGGTTAGGGTTAAGGGTTAATTTAGGGTAAGGGTTAGGATTAGTGTTAGGGGTTAATTTTCGGTTATGTTCACGGTTAGGGTTAGGGTTAAGTGCAAGGTAAGTTTTGGGCTGGGGATATGGTTAGGGTTAATGTTAAGGTAAGGGTTAGTGTTTGGGTTTGGGGTAGAGTTAGGGTCATGGTTAGGGTTAGGTTTATGGATAGGGTTATGTTTAGGTTTAGGTTTAGGGTTTAGTGTAGGGTACGTTTTTGGGCTGGGGTTATTTTTTATGGTTTAGGTTACGGTTAATTATAGGTTTGGGTTTAGGGTTAATTTTAGGTTTCGGGTTAGAATTAAGTTTATAGTTAGGATTAGGTTTAGGGTTAGGATTAAGGTTAGGGTTAGGGCTAAGGTTGGACCTAGTGTTAGGGTTACGATTAGAGTTAGGGATGAGGTTAGTGTTAGGGTTAAGTTTAGGAATAGTGTTAGGTGATGGAAGCGAACAGGCAAGTTCCAGGTAGCAGTTCAGAAGATGAAGATGCGGTCACTGGAACAAGAAATTCATGGGCCTCACGTTTCGGATTCTCATTCAAATCCATCATCAGAGACATTCGCAGATAAAGGTGATGGTGGCACAAGGCGTGCAGTATGTATAGCACGTGGCTGCCGTGGGATCGCATGCGCTCTGCAATTAACAGTTCTCGCAATTACCGCTGGGCTCGTCATCGATGCGGTGGTGGCTTGTCGGTCCGAGTCCGAGTCGGTAATGGCCGTGATTTCGTCATCCGTGCTGGATGCTGGTGTAACGATTGCTCGGCAGATTGGCTCACTGTCACTGTGATAATTGCTCGCCCGCGCCCTCCCCACGTGACTGATTCCCTCGCCCAGGGAAAATCGCAGTACGGAATAGGGTACCGGGAGGTCACTGTGCTTGTTGATGGATTGCGGGCCTGAGAACCATGACTCGAGCAGCTCGCGGCTCACGCGGTCGTCACCCCTTGCGAGGATTTCGGCCTCTTGAAATTTGAAAATATGGCCGGGTCCCGTCGAGTGTGCCGCCATCTGAGAGCTAGCGTCTCCTTGCCTCACTGCTGCTGCGTGCTCGGCAATTCGCGTACGGAGTAATCTCCCAGTTTCGCCGACATAGTTGCTTTGTCCGCAACTACACCAGATCCGGTAAACGACTTCAGACGTTTCTTGTCGTGGCAGCGGATCTTTTGGCCTCATGACTTGCGCCTAATGGTTGCTTCCGGCCTGTTGCAACCCCAACTCCAAGTGGAGTGAGAAGACGACAGACGGCTTCCGAGACGTTTTTCACATACGGAAGGGCCCGCCAAAATTTGGGACCGGGTGGATTTGGTCTCTGGTGTCCTTTTCGTATGCACTGGTTGAGAAAGTTATGCGGGTAACCAGTGGCTCTCATTACCCGTCGAAGGTATTGTAATTCAGCAACCTTGTCTTCAATTTCACTGCAGTGCGTCTCAACGCGCCGGTATAGCGCCCTTACGCAACTGCGTTTGTGACTGATCGGGTGGTTGCTATTGAAGTTCAGTATTTGCGTCGTATTTGTGGCTTTCACGAACACTTTGGTTTTTAGGCCGCCACAATCTTTGCGGCAGACGAGGACATCCAGGAAGGCCAGCTGGTTGTTTTTCTCCTCCTCCATCGTGAATTGAATGTCCGGGAAGACGGCGTTGAGATGTTCTTTGAACGTCAGCACCTGATTCCGTTCGATGACTAAGGTGCCATCCACATACCGAGCCCAGAATTTCGGTCTGTGGTGTCGGAAAACCAGCGACTCCAGCCGTGGCAGGACCGCCTCGACTATGAGTCCCGAAATCGGCGAGCCCATTGGCGTTCCCTTCACCTGTTCGTAGATTGTTCCGTCGAACGTAAAGTACGTCTTGAGACAGAACTTCAGGAGCTGGATGATTTGGGCGTGTCCGAGGCGATTCTCCGTTTCGTCGTATTTCTCTCGTAGGAGTAGTTCGATGGTCTCGACTGCCAGGTCCTGTGGGTTAGAATAAGGGTTATGGTTAATGTCAGGTTTGGGGTTAGGGTTATGGTTAGGGTTAGGGTTAAGGTTAGGGTCAGGGTTAAAATTAGGGTTATGGTTAGGGTTACGTGTAGGGTTAAGGGTTAGGGTTATGTTTACGGTAAGTTGTTGGGCTGGGGTTAGGTTTAGGGTTAAGTTTGTGATTAATTTTAGTATTAGGCTTAGGTTTAGGGTTTGGGTTAGCGTTGGGGTTATGGCTAGGTTTGAGCCTAGGGTTAGGGTTAGTATTAGAGTTAGGGATGAGGTTAGTGTTAGGGTTAAGTTTAGGAATAGTGTTAGGATTTGTGTTGCGTTAAGTTTAGGGTTAGCATTCGGATTAGGATTTGGGTTTGTTTTAGGGTTGGGGTTAGGGCTAGGGTTAGGTTTAGTGCCAGGGTTAGTGTTAGGTTTAATTGTAAGGTTAGGGTTAGTGTTAGGTTCAGGATTAGGGTTAAGTGTATGGTTAGGTTTAGGGCTAAGTGTAGGGTAAGTTTTTTGGGTTGGGGTCAGGTTTAGGGTTACGTCTAGGGTTAATTTTAGTTTCGGGTTTAGGGTTAGGGTTAAGTTTATTTTTAGGATTAGCTTTAGGGTTACGGTTAGGGTTAGGTTTATGTGTAGAATTAGGGTTAGGGCTAGGTTTGGGCTAGGGTTAGGGCTAGGTTTAGGGTTAGAATTAGTGTTAGGGATGAGGTTAGGTTTAGGATTAAGTTTAGGAATAGTGTTAGGGTTAGTATTAGGGTTAGGGTTAAGTTTACTGTCAGGGTTCGGATTAGGATTGGGGTTAGGCGTTGCTTTAAGATTTGGTTCGGATTAGGATAAGGGTTCATTTTATGTTTAGGGTTAGGGTTAGGGTTAAGGCGTGTTAGGTTTAGTGCTAGGCTTAGTTTTAGGTTTAATTGTAGGTTTAGGGTTAGCGTTAGGTTTAGGTTTAGTTTTAGGGCTAGGGTTCGGGTCGGATAATGGTTAGTTTTGAGGTTAGGGTTAGGTTTATGTTTAGGATTAGGATTAGGGTTAGGATTAGGTTTAGGGTTGCGTTTAGGGTTCGAGTTAGGGTTAGTGCTAGGGTTAGGTTCAGGGTTAGCGCTTGGGTGAGGTTTAGAGCTAGGGTTAGGTTTAGGGTCAGGCTTAGGTTTAGTATTAGGTTTTGTGTTAGGTTTATGTTAAGCGTAGGGTCAGGTTTAGGGCTGGGGCTAGGGTTACGGTTAGGGCTAGTGTTAGGTTTTGGTCTAGGGTTAGGGTTAGGTTTATGTGTAGGGTTAGGATTAGGGTCAATGTGAGGATTAGGGTTAGGGCTCGCTTTACGTTTAGTATCAGGGTTATGCTTAGAGCTATGGTTAGTCTTAGGGTTAGTATACTTGTTAGCCTTCCGTCTGATGTTGCGGTAGTCGCGACCGCATTGGCACGCGTGATCAACATATTACTTTCGAGGCCAGCCGTCCCTTAGCTTGCAATACTGCAGAAGTTTAGACGACTGAATCACATCCTGGATTTCCTCAAATTTCTTTGGCTGAATGATTATCGGAGCTGCCGTTGTCGGCTTCCTTGCAGTCCGCGGTCCAAATGAAGACAACTAATACGCCGATAATAAAATCGGCCATGGCGTTTGCCCTGCTTTACTCTTTTTTTCGGAACTTCCACGGTTGCTAGCTATGTTGTTATCTTTTTTATTACGCCAACTCGTACGCCATCTGCTGCCACGTCTCCTCCACCGCTTATTTCTGTTTACTTCTTGTTAATCCGCGTACTTACTTACCGCAATTGGGCCTCGTTGTCGTTAATTCTACTTACGCTCGCCACTTCACTGGCATTCATGATATCGTCTGCGGTTTTCGGTTGCGCTATGCGGATTAACCTTGCCATTCGCCGCCTACCTCTCGTTGGTTGCTACGGTGCTACGGTACGCTTATCTTATCATTATCTACCTCCGTCATTTTCCGCAGGCTGTGCTGTTTTCCACGGGATTGTTTTAAATTTCTGCCATTATCCAACCCGCTTAAAATTTCCCAAAACTTTCTCTGGTAAGTTTACTTTCTGCCAGAAACTCCAGCATTCTTCTATCAGCCCTTCCATTTACCCCCCCCCCATGGATGGTAAGACAGGGACCTCGCCGTCCGCTTCCCCATTCCTGGCTACCAACTGCGATCTAACTGACATTTTCTTAGTAGCCTATTGTGTCCTTACGGAGAATGTATACAGCATTTAGGCTGGGAGCCCTAAGCACAAGTTTAACTGCGGTTCGAGTACAAAATCACGCAGAAATTCAGAAACGTTTCTAAAACCCAAAGATCTTCTTTTTTGAAATATAACGTTTGAAGGAGACGTGATTGTCTACCAAATGAGCGCAAAGAGTCCGTTTTACGCATGTTTCTTCTAAAACATATTTGAATCTATGTAGGCGTCGGAAGTCAATGTGAAAAATGCACACTACATAAGTGGCCGCTTTTTACCGAGTGCGGTTTACGCAGGCGACCGGGAATCCGACTGCACTGATTCCCACCAATGTTGTCTTGCCTTGCTGGGAAGTTATGTTGAACTGGAAAATGTCTTTGATAGGATATACCGGACAAATTTGTGGCTTAATATCCTTAGACAAAGTATACCTTGTAGGCGTCTAGTAGCTTTATCCAACTCACGTTCTTTGATTTGCCCTATGAGCGTTGGAAAGCTCGAGTGCCTTTCTGATCTCCTTGCCCAACTGTTCAATACTTTAATACAAGGATATCTTATTTTTTCTGCCGCAAGTCCAATCAGGGCTACATATTCAAATCTGCAGTTTCCAAACTATGTCGGTCACAGACAACTGACAAGTCGAAGTCGTATTTTCTCCGACCATCCACTCATTTAGTTCAGAAAGTAGCATTGCTTCATGAAACCGGCCAAAAGCATAACACACTGACGCTTGGCACATTTTAATTTGTTTATGCTCGTTAATATTCGCGAGCTCAGCCTTTATTAACGTTTTTTTCAGCATAAACGGAAGGGAAATGGTTCTCTTCTTATTCTTTTTATCCCGTATACTAAGCAAACTTGTGGATAGGCGGGGACGTAAAACAAATAGATCCATGGTGCAGACTGCATCCGCTTGGTAAATCGGCGTAAACCCGATGATAATTACCGAATGATCGGAGTTAGATTCCATTGATTTATGAGCTTGTTTCATTAACTTGATAATAGTTCGGCTCCGTTTGATAAAATGGGCAGACACACGAAATCCCTTATTACTAGGCAGCTGCCTTGTGAACAACTCTCTTGCCTAGTTTACATCAAGTAGCTGCCAGTAGTCAAAAATGTCGGCTTGCACCTGATACACAGGTCAGATCAGATCAGATTTATTAAGGGAAAAGTAGGCGAGTGCCTTTGAACTCCCTTTTGGTTACAATAACGTCATAAAAAAACAATGTGTACGGCAAGTGTGAAAAAAATTAGGTAAGTAATTACATACAACAAGCATTGGTCACTGGTATGAATTTGTCTGTGAATGCCTTCTATGTCAAAATTGTACAATATCCAGTACGGTACTGAATGGACCAAGTAATATCAAAGCAAGCGCATATGTGGCGGTCAGGATATAGCGAAAATTGTAAAACGTAATGTTACTAAAATATAGGGAGTAGCATGCTTTGTAACATAAAACGTTGGATGGGGCGGGTGGCACAGGGGGGAATTCGTTAGTTTCTGATGCTGTGGAGGTACATATCCCTGTACTGGTCAAGCTTTCTTTTAAACGAGTCCACGGATGAGGACATGACGACATCCACAGGCAGGGCATTCCATGTCTTTACCACTCTGTGGCTGAAGAAGGACCTCCTTGCGTCCAGTCTTGCCCCTGTCACACGTAGTTTCAGAGGGTGTCCTCTCAAGCTAGTAGTGGTGGCCAGCTCAAAGAAGTCGCCGGATGCGAGGCAGCAGTCCTGACCCCGTAACATTCTAAACGTTTGAATTAAGTCGCCACGGAGTTGTCTGTAGTCCAGGGGAAAGAGGTTAAGATTTGAAAGTCTGGTTTCGTAAGGTAGGTTTTTATGACCTCTGACAAGCTTGGTTGCCCGTCGTTGGACTTTTTCGAGGGTGGTACGATCCTTAACAGTCCAGGGTCTCCAGGCCTGAATGGCAAATTCTAACTGTGGGCGCACAAACATCCCGAAGACCTTGCGAAAGCACTCTTCGTCGAACTTGGCAAATGCCCGCTTAATGAGATATAAGCTGGACATTGCGGATTTTGCTGCTTTCAAGCAGTGGAATGATGGCTTTAGTGAAGATGTTATCCACACCCCTAGGTCTTTCTGAACCTCTACCAGTGGCAGCGGTGTGTGATTTAGATAATACGTCTGCCGGTGCGCAGAGCTGGTTCTGCCAATCCTCAGAATGTTGCATTTGGTAACAGTAAATGGGAGGAGCCAGTGGCCTGACCATTTTTCGAGTCGGTCTAAGTTTGCCTGTAAATTTGCTTCATCGTCCTCGTTGCGGATGACGGTCCAAAGCTTTATATCGTCAGCAAACATGGCAATTTTGCAGTCCAATCCATGGATACAGTCATCAATATAGATGAGGAAGAGGATAGGGCCAAGAACGGAGCCCTAGGTGTTCTGCTCAATTTACCACCGACCGGCACCATATCACTTCCACCGGGTGTCTAGTGGGAAACTTTCCAGAAAACACGAAAATGGCGTATACATGCACCAGGCATTTTACACGAATTAAAATTTTTTACGACTTATCGAACTTTAATGATAAGAACGTTGTCCGCATTTGATCATTGGATATTTGGAAACCAACTGCCTCTTTAAGGCCTAAATAGTATATTCGTTCAGCTAAACTTATGCGTACTATACTGAGCTTCATAATGGCCAGGCAAGAATTCTAAAACTGCACGTCTTCTAATGGAATGAGAAATTTTTACAGTTGTTTTAATGGTGTTGGGCTTCAAAAATCTGTTTTTATTATTTGTGTGAAATATTTGCAAGTTTTAGGTTCAGGTGACTAATATGGTACCCTCAAACACCATAAAAATACGCGAAACTTAATGCCAACTTTAAATACTATCATCTTACGCAGTAGATTCTTAAACGATCTCCATATCATAGGGAACACAGGACAGGTCGTCTAATTTCACCACAGAACTGACTATGTACGAGTTCTACAACGAATTTTTGTAATCAGAATTGCCGTGCGACCTAAGACAGTAGTCTCATGTAAACCAAAATCTTTAAAAGGTTGTGGTATCTCGACTGTTTTTTATACTTTTTTCCAGAACAGTCTCGGACATCCGCACGGAATGCAAGTAAGGTACTCTCAGTATCCCTTCTGGAACTCACCTATATCGTTATTTTTGATCAACGCTCAGTTGACAACACCCTAGCCACTGGCAATTCCGAGACCCTATTTTTTTTATTTAAATGCAACTGTTCTAACCCAAATGTGTAGTTTAGGTTGTTCTATCGTCCCAAAGGCGTCTTGCTTGATGCGCTAAAAAAACCTGTTAACAATCACGAATCCTTGAATACAAGCCTGCTCACACCGCCACTTTGCAGCTCATTCGTGCTCTCTCCATTGGCTGACATCAATAGCCCGCCAATATTAACTTTTTCAGTTTGGTGATAGATTCGTGTTTACTCTACAATGGTGACCGCGACGTGATCGGACCGCAAGTGCCGGCCTTGGCTGGGTTCACTCGTCATGACATTCCCACACGAATTCATGTTGCTCCTTTTTCCTGTTTCACGCACTGTGCCCACGCAAAGAAAGACGTAGTCAGCGACACGAATCAAGATGGATTTCATCAACAAAAGTCAGTCATACAAGCTAAGATCAAGTCCCTGACCAAATTGTGTGGAGCAGCTATACAAATCTAATTTGATTGGAATTCACTTCTCCTTTTTCCAGTACGAGTGTCTGTCCATAGTCATGCACGGCAGCCTTACCACCCTCAAACCCGATTCTGAACACTACAGGCGGATCTCCGCAGACTTTTCCCGCCTACATCAGAATTCAGCCTATGTGGATGTCGTTGATTATGCCCAAATGATGTGCTAGGCAACAGATACTCTCTGAATAATTCCTCCACGCTTCCCAGCGCATAAGCCACAAGTTGACCTTAACTTGCTAATCTGTCCTTTTAAGTTCGTCCGGGTCCTCAGCGTTCGTAAGTTATTAAAATGGAAGAACACCCATGCTGACTGTCCTTCACCAGTCAGCCTTCTACACGGTGGTGCTACCTACACTTTTTCTAACCCTCACCTCACGTTCTAGTAGTTTTCTTTAAAATTTCCTTTAGAGTATAATGGTTAAGCATAGAGGACCTTAACAGCGAGCATGAAAAAATGATATATGTTTGCTTTTTTGCATGGGTTCAAACTTCGTCATAGTGCTTCCCAAACAGCCACCAATATCATCACAGCATGAGGAGAAAGGTCCACAAGTGATCAGACAGTAGGAAGGTAATTTCGTGGTGACAATGAGGGCCTTGAAGATGACTCAGGTAGAGGACGACCACGCACCCTTGACAGTGAACTTTGAAAGCAATTGTTGAAGAAAACGTATGTCAAAATGTCGGAGAAATGTCTGAGGCGGTCCGTACCGGTATTTCAATTGTGTCCGATCATTTGATGCAAATTGGTGAGGTGAAAAAGCGCGATAAGTTGGTTTCACGTGAACTCAACGCAAATCAAAGAGTTGGGCGTTTTTAACACGTTTCTTAACTGAACAGTAACGTGGAACGAAGGGTCGTTGATGGCAGGGATTCTTTGATGTTCAGGGTTCATACTTCGACCAGTTTTAACATGGGCAGTGTTAAATTTTTCAAGAATAAATTCTTTCTGAAATAAGCCAATAGTTCCCGAACAATCTAAGATCAAGTCCCTGAC